GAGAGAGAGAGGGAGAGGGGTCGTCATGCTGCCACGAGGGAATCGACCTGCGACTTGCCACGGGGGCCCTTCTTCCGGATGAAGAGGCGGTACTCGTCGAAGGTCATGGGTCGGTACAACGCGGGGCGATCGCAGGTGACGAGCTCCCGTATCGGCCCTATCGGCACGTCGCTCTTCGGGTTGTAGAAGAAGGCCATGGAGAGCCGCTCCGCCGCCGCATTCACCATCACCCGGTGCTCCACGCTCTTGTATGCCGCGTTGCTCAGCACCTGCAACCCAACCCATTCATCACCACCAATGAAACCCAGCGCGCATGCATCTTTCTACCCGTCAAAAGTATCATTATTATTAAGCTGGACAAACAAATAGATGTCAGCTGCATGCATAGATATGTCACTCACAGGGGTGGAAGTGGAAGAAGAACAGACACCAAAATCTTATTGTTTATGGACTAGAAGAAGATCAGCGGGGGCAGACGAGAACACGTGCCTTTGAAAGGATCACCCCCACCTTCTTATATAAAAACCATTAGTCTTAGGAAAGTAACTGCGGCAGCTCAAACCATTCTGAGCCGCATGCAGAGATGCCTATCCATCCATCACCGAGCTTATCCTGAGCAGGAAGCACTCGATGGTTTTCCAACCATGACGGCAACTGATGAAATGGAAATGCACTATAAAACATGAGATCCTATTAGGTGGTGTCTGCTTGGTCACGCATAAGACAAGAAACGAGGCCTTAATGAACGAGGATAAGAACATGTTGAGCTCCGATGTGAGGAAGCTCGACGATACCGGTGATGACAAAATTAGCAGTAGAACAAGGAGGAAAGAAAACATTATTTCCACGCCTTTCCGATGCGTTCAGTATTTATTGCATACGGACGAAGTGGAGGAAGAGCACTAGGAAGCGGTCACCTGAATCTGATCGCCGACGTTCACAATGAAGGCATCGGGGACTGGCTGCACCGTGATCCAGGAATCGTTCTTCCGGACCTGAAGGCCGGTGACGTGATCGTCGACGAGGAGGACGGTCATGCCGCCGGGGTCGGAGTGCGCCGAGAGCCCGAGTGTGAGCTCCGGCTGCGGGCACCTGGGGTAGAAGTTGACCCTCATGCAGACCCCTTCGTCGTCGAATGCCACCGGCAAGCAGGCGGCGTCCAGTCCCAGGCCAATTGACAGCGCTCTCAGTAGCCTCCGGCACAGCTTCGTCAACGCCGCGCCGTACTCGTCACTCGTCTCCCTGTGCGCACATGCATGCACGTTAAGCTTGGATTCCAGCCGACGGCAGCGAAGACAAGCCAGCCGTAGGAGATCGGAGCTTGATGGCAGAGCAGTGATGTGGTACCTCAAGGCGGGCGGAAGAGCGGGCCACTTGTCGTGATCCATCAGGCACAAGGGGAGGAAGTGGAGGAAGAAGTAGTCGCCCCAGTCCAAAATGGCGCCCCTCTCGATCCCGAGGCGGCTCCCGTAGCCCTCGTAAGTCTTGGGCGAGTTCGCGTAGCGCTGCTTCTCGTCCATGGGCAGATGAAAGAAACCCCTCCAGACCTCTCTGGCGCCCCTCATCAGGCCCGGGCTCACTCCGTGGTTGACCGCTTGGAAGAAGCCCCACTGGCGGCAGGCGTCCGCTATGGCCGTCACGGTGGCCTCGCAGTTGGCGACGTCGTCCGTTAGCATGGCGAGGTCGACGACCGGTATCCCGACCATGTCTCCGGGATCGACCGAGGCGCGCTCCGACTGCGGCTTTACGTAGCGGTCAGGGATGGTGGTGGCGCCGCTGTCGGACAACGACTGCACCCGGACAACCGGCTCTGGCCAGTCTCGCAGGCAATCCATGGACGAAGTTCTCGGCTCAAATATATTCGATCAACTCCTCCAACTCGAGCACAAACGTGTCATCAAGGTGCATGGAAGGAGATTATACTTGCTGGATTAATCCTTTGATTCTTGGGTCACTGCTCGACCACAAAGCAAGCGTGTCTATTTGCTTGTAGAGAGCTCTGCATCGCTATTTCATGAGCATATATGTGCGGAAGATGAACTATGTGCGTGTGTGTATATATATATATATATGTATGGATGAAGGAAGACCGTATAGAGAGAGAGATAGAGAGAGAGAGAGAGAGAGAGAGGAGGAGGAGGAGGAGGAGTTGTGCTCGTATTGTAGTCTTGGTGGTGGTGCTGAAAGGGACTCAGCAGGCAAAAAAAAAAAAACGTGATGAAAATGGGGTAATAGGAAATGAATTGTTTTGGCAACGTGGAGTTGCAGAGCGAGATAATGCCGACATAGAAGGAAGAAGAAGCAGTTGTCGTAAGCTCTGAACTTTCTTTGGTTGAATAGTTCTCCTTGGTAACACAAACTAATTGATTGATCAAACATGACGTGAGACTACTCTGTCATCTTCTTATCCTCATGATGCTGACATGAATGATAGATCAAAGATGACTGCAGCTGTTTGTCGGCCTTGATGAAAAGGATTCGTCTTCCTTGAATCAGAGGTCTTGCTTGGTGTCATGTGGAGGTCGTGGATGCCACAATTTCATCGAGGCCTCAAGCAACTGCCGCGAAACTTCGTTTCACACACACACATACAGGAAAAATACACATACCTATTTAATCGATACATCGGATAATACATCGATTGGATCAATAATATTTGGATCCTTACCATCCATCGACTTCTATAATTTGATCTTGGAACAATTTAGACTCTTTTATGGAACTGCACTTCCGGTTAGGAAATAACTACATGATATATATAAAAGAGCTCGTGAGTTGACTAAATGAAAAGGTATCGTTGCTTTCCCATCTGCTTTTCTAGACCTATGAACAAGCTGTGTTCATGTGGGTGGGTGGGTGGGTGCGTGAGAGATCTCGTATTCATGAGGTTGGAGGTATCTGCACGGTTTTCCCTCGCGTGGGAGATTTAGTACATCACTTTCACTGGGTAGTTGGTCATGACACTTTTCTGGGTTCTATTTGTTTGCTACATAGTAGTCTATCATCTAAAGAAATAACAATTTGCGGCTCCTTTTGGAAAAAGATTGCAGTGGTTTACCTGGGGATCATACATACACATGATGTGGAAGGAATAGCAGCCGGCTGGGACATGAATCCTGAACTCTGTTCTTGGTGATCAGTACCTGCATATAAATCTGGAGAGGCCTCTCTTCTTTATCTTCATCAACCAAGTAGTGAACTGGTAGAATTCATAAGATGATACGTCAGTCAGAATTCACTGAAGGAGAACTCATCATCCAAAACAAAGCTCAGGTAAAAGTTGGCACACACAGCATGGACTTTCAGCTGACATCTAAGAAAGGAGGCAAAAAGAAGATATGAGCATACTGTAATATTTACAAGGTGGGGGTCAAAATCCATCAGCACATTCCCAGGATGAACAACACTGAATTGTTGCCTCTGGTAACGTAATGCTTATAAAAGATGCACAAGATCTATTGCACAGCACACACAGCAAGTCCCAGGCTGATATCCCCTACACACACACACAACTGGAGGGTCAAATAAGACTGAATAACCACTAGTGTGAGGGAAAAAGTCTGGGTAGCCAACTTAGTGGTTCCGGTGCAGTTTATCCTCTCCCAAGACTGGAATTCTAATTAGTGATAACTCCACTCAGGCTCACTTAGTGGGCAACTCAACCAGCTGAAATTGATATGCACAGGAGATATGAAAGACCAAAGTGAAATAAACAATTGGTCTCACAGGTCTGGTTGCAACAACCATCATGTGGTGAATCTGCTATAATTGTTCTCCTGAAGACAATGATAATGTTGCTGAATTTTTCGTCATGGAGAGGAATACTTGTAGCATGCCTAACCCAGCAACCAGCATTGAAGAATTCAACCATTCCATCCTAAGCAAGAACAAGGTGCTCAGTTGTCACTGCAACAGACATGATCATGCTTATTGCCAATAAGAACCATGTATCTTGTTCTAATTTGCAGGTCTAAAATTGCTCATCACGACATGGCATACATTTTCGCAGTTACCATCACATAAACTTGCTAGAAAAGAAAATTTTTAGGCACGTCTAGCTATTTTTGCAACCTGAATATACAATTTGGCAACATTGCATAAATTTCAGATATAATTTCTTAAAAACACTCCAAATTTTCATTTCCAATAACATCTCATTAATTCATTGTTGGATATTATAACCAATCTGTTGCTCTGACCTGAAAGAACAACTTTTCCTCTTTTTGTATAATCATGCTCCAAGCAATGAAAATCTAGTAATTAAATGAGATGAGCCAGTTAGGATGAGTCTGAATGACAAATGTAAGAAGATTTGCTATAAATGTTAAAAAAGAAATATGGAATAAAAACCTAAGCAACTAAAGTGCAATCTTTACCACCAAAATTTGTGAGACTTGATAGAGCTTAAACCCAGATCATAATAATATTTCTTGTTAATCATGATATCATTATAAATATATAACCATCCACCCATATACAACACGATACACCATATAAATCTAAAGACTGGGCCAAACTTGTGTTGGGCCAAGAGAAGTCCAACTGTGGCCCATAATGAGACCCATGTCTTACTTTGTTCATGCTAGCTGGTGTAACCATACAGAAGGTTTTTTGTTCTCTATTGTTTTGCATTGGCGGCAGCTGCATTGTTTTGGTAAGTGAATCTCAACCTAATATGTTTATGGGACAGTTTTATTTGCATACATACATTGATTGTAAAGCCTAATTTTTTTGGTTGACTTATCAAGCTATTACATGTTTTCTTTTATTGAGATATTATGCACTCATCGTACTTTATTAATATGCATCATCAATGATAACTAAAAACAAGGATAGAAGACATTTCTGTATTGATCCAACCAGGGTCTGTAGTACCGAACTGTACCACCCGGTACGAGCGGTACGTACTGGTCCGACAGATTATCGGTACACGGACCGCCTGTTACCGGTCCGAGCGCACCGTAGTACTGTAGCAGTGCTACAGTACTCGGCACACCTGAGTGTACTGCTCGGTACACCTGGGTGTACCGCTCGGTATACCGTACCGTATCGGTACTGAGCCCAAGTCGAAATACCGGTACGGTACGATATTGCGAATCTTGGATCCAATATCATATCAAACATACAGATACCATATATTGGTACAAGATATGGAAATCCTTTATCTATTAGCTACAGATGTCAGAGATAAGAATAAATCCACCAGTTATAAGTTATAAGAAACATAGAAAGGTGTGTCCCTAGATCTGCTAATAGGTGGGCAAATTATCTTGCCAATTTTAGAGGAAGTAATTCCTACTTAAGTTTTGGAGAGGTACCTCATGCAGTGAGCTAATCGCAGAGCATGGAATCCAATGAACCATATCTGGCAAGAAGCTGAGACTTGTGGATATTCATTATGATAAGAAACTTATGGAATCAATTTAGATTAAATGACAAACAAATCGTTTCATAGTTACATATAGCAAATGAAATTGAGCTTGCACAGCACATCCAAAATTAATAAAATATCAATATAAAACACAATCTTACAAGAGGCCACACAAGCGTGGCCTGGAGCAGAACTGCTTCCAATTAGCTTTAACAAGAGGCACCACTCCTGCAGACAAGCCAGCCAAGAGTACAGAAGAAACAACATGTGTGCTATTTCCGCCTGGTGATAAAAAAAAACTGAATAAGAAATATAAACATCCTGAAAATCCAAAGAATTTACAGGTAGACCTTGATTTAATGTAAGTGTTGTTGTCATTGTGAGACCTCCCACGATGAGAGCTGAGGCCACCGGGAGATACTGCATGCAGATAAATGATAAAGTATGATTAACAAAAAGCAAGGCCTGAACAGAAAGCCATGACAAATAAGCTAAATATGACCACGACTTTCTAATAACGAAAAATAATTAAGATAATGTGTGCATGGTTTACTGATGATGATTCAAACCGATTCAGCCGGAAAGGAGGACCACTTCTGCTGACAGTGTAGCGACCACTAATAAGATCCAACGCATCCTTGGAAGCATAATAAATGATTGTATGAGTCTTTTAAGTCTTTCCCACTATATGGGCAGCTTAAAATAGTAAATGAAACACTCATGATGTAAAAGGTTATGATATGAGTTTAACGATAAATACTATGGCATTGGAATAGCATACTTGTCGAATGCCATCTTGAAAGTTATTTAAATAATATCGTGTGAGAGCACTTATTCCATCCTTTATTATTCCAGATACAGTCTGTCTCCCATATCTGCACATGATGAACCCAAAATTGGCACAAGGTGTTTGTATGTTTAGAAGATGCAAGGGGTAAAAATAGATGAAAAATGCATGGTAAACTTTACCGTACTAGGTCCCCTTTCAGAGCATGAGTACCAGCATATTCCAAGCTTATCTCATCTCCATGTTCCGCCCACACTAACAAATATGTCCATATAAGATACAAAGATTTGTGGAAATTAAATGAAAAAAAAGTTGATGATGCAAAATATATTATGGAAAATTTCCTTACAGTTCTTGAACTTCTCATAGATGTCAGTATACATGGATATACATTCATTTGATGAAAATGTTCCCACTTGCTGCAGTAGTAAATTCAATAATTTCCTAGCCACATAACTCTGCAAGCAGGAAAGGAGATACTGAGGCTCTTTTCAATGACTAAATTCAAATATAATAGAAGAGAATCTTCCCACAATTTTTCCAGATTTTGGCAAGAGAAACATGAAAGAAGGCCTCATAAAAGGTGGTTAAAAGTTTGATCGTTTACTTTCAAACTGATATCATGGAAAAAGATACTAATCAATTATAATAGAGATCATGATATCATCTACAGGTTATTGCTATGACCAGAGGTCAAAACTCATAGCAATCAACTCTTTTTGTTCCTTGCATGTACTAGCAGCTCAATACTTTTAAGGGAAAATGACAATGGTAATAGCACCTGATGGTGGTCCCACTTAGAAGAAAGCTTAGAGATTTACCATCTGAAATTGTCTATTGTTGCCGTATTGGCGGTCCCATATTTCTCTAAGAATTTGATCACAAGTTTAAAAAAAAAAAAGTTGAGATTAGAACACGCAAACCTGGGTAACATTTGTCCGATCCAGGCAATCAATGCAATTAACCCTGACAATTCCATTCTGCTGTATTAGTATTTCTCCATCAGTGTTGATCAAAAGATATCTGCTCAGCTGGAACGATAATTGCAGTAAGAACACATTATTCATAACAATTACAGCTGACATTCATGACGGTAAGTGAAGCACCAACTAGGCATACAAAATATTAAAAGTCAAAATTGATACTTTGTTCAACTCAGTTACCCTTGGTTTTCCACATTTTCTTTGATTTGATCATAAAGTAGTTGCAAGTTATCAAAAATCCCTTTGCCACATGCATTGTGGAAATCAAAACGCACGTATCTGGAAGCAAACATATTCAAGCAGTCAATTACAGCAAGAAATGTCCATTCCACTAAAACAGCAGAAAACAATGTCCAAGGAACTCACATAATGCAACTTTGACTTATTGTCATCTTAATTCAAGTATTCAACAAAAAGAACATGATGACAAGTACCCAAATCTTTTCGAATGTTTAAATCTATATATTGTACTAAAACAAACAAAGATGAGTAGATAAACTATGGTAGTTAAGGAATGGATATAGAAAACTTAGGCAGAGAGGGCTTAAAACAAGATAAAACGTCTCTGCGATAGAGTCATAGATGACAAAAAGATGCAGAAAAAAAAAAGGATACAGAACAAAATTAAGAATACTTCCAAACAGTTCAATCTAACATGAGTTTTGCAATTTTAATGCCTTTCTTTTGTTGCTTTTGTGTTGTTGACTAGAAATGAATTAAATAGTTCCAAGCCTTCATAAATGTTGGACATACTACTACACTTGAATGTGCCATTCACCCAGTTTAACTCATACACATGGATACTGCCAGCAAACCCACCTTGCAACTATGCGTAACAAATTGAAACCATAGTTCTAGTTATCTCCCAAAAGGAATTGTCAGCTAATCAAGTATTGCATAAAGCTAGGATTCAACCGAACCATTTATCACTTTCATAGTAGAAATTCAAAGGTTCATGAGCTCATTAATTTTTTCATAAATATAAGTTATCATAATTGAGGTGACCTTTTGTTAGCAAATAGGTATGGAATTTGACAGGTCTGATTTTATAGAGATAACCCTGCTATACAAAAATTTGGTGTAGTGCTTCTTGGTTTAGTTACATTTATAGCTAAGGTAGGTACTTCAAGGAACTTGCAATAATTATCAGCTACCTTGGTCAATTCTTAAGTAGTAATGTTCCATAATAGACATTGCCATAATTATCTCCAACGGTAGTTATAACTTATAAGCAACTATTTTATTGAGTATAAGGTAAAAGGTGGCTGCTTACATGCAATTAGTCATTGACAAAATAGAACAAAAGGAAAGCTGACAAAAAGTAACTCCACAAATACCTAACATATGGAAGTTTTTCCATCTCAGCAGCAAATGCATCACTCAGCCGGCCTTCATCACCTTCCTGCCAAACCATCCAGTAAAAGGAGACGAAGCGTCATAAAGATAAGGTCATATCCTTCTACAAATTTCGTTGGAATTTTCTTTCTTCCCCCCGCATTTCAGACTGGCATGTATATGCATGTGTCGGACAAAATTAAACAACTCAAAATGCAGTTTATAACAAATTAACCTTGTTTCCAGTTAGTAAGGCAAATTGCCAAGGGACACCATGGATAGAGGATAGGAATACAGAGTAAAGAAGGGGAAAAGATTAAGTCCACCCATTGTCACAAATTTGAACTCAATAAAAAAAATTCTGTTTATGTTGATTTGCAGACAAATAATTACACCATGGAATCTGAACTAACATTCAAGAATCACAAAAATCAAAACATGTTTTTTATAGTGTCTGCAAAAGGTACATACTTCCATAAACACTTCCAATTTACAGTAACCAGTGCCTGGCATTAGCTCTTCAATTAATAATCAAGGTAAAATGGAGGGTAAAATGACAAAAATGGAATGTAGCATCAAGAAGTGCAGCTAAATGGCAGTATTGTAATGTAGGTCAGTAATAAGCAAGGTTTGAAATGGCTGTCCAATGAACCTGTACTGGACTGCATGTATTTGATAAATTATCATTTTATTCTTCTGATATCGATACCATACCATCTGACTATCCCGAGAAGTATATACTATCCGATATATTGGTACCATCTGATAGAATCGATTCATTGATGCTAGGAGGTACGTATATACTATTCTATATATTGGTACCATACCATCTGACTGGTTCTCAAAACCAATAAGCAATCGAGATTTAAATCCTGCATGTAGGATATATGCCATCCACAAATACTTCTCTTAAACATACGACTCAACTCTAATAAACCTATGGGCCAAATAACTTGGAAATATGGGGTTGGAAAGTGGAAACAAGTGGCTAAAAATATTTAAACCAAAGTTAGTAGTATTAGGAGTATCTAGCCCTATACACTAGTCTGACCCACCATCAATTTCCCATGCGGAACTACTAGAGCACAACAATCTTTCCCAAATAAAAATTTGGCATCCTCACTAGGAATAACACATCTGAATCAGAATTCATTTGTGGCTCCAATGCATGGTCTGCCGTACCGAAGCATACCGCCCGTACCGGGTAGTACGTACCGGTCCGACAGGTTCTCGATACGCGGACTGTCTGGTACCGCTACAGTGCTACAGTATAGTACTGTATCACTGCTACAGTATAAATAAAATAAAATTATCGGTACACCAGGGTGTACCGCTCGGTACGCCCTGATGTACCGCCCGGTACACCGGTACCGTACCGTACCGAGCCCGGGTCGAAATTCCGTACGGTATGACGGACCTTGTTCCAATGTATGTTTAACCTTGGGAGATCCCCATCTTGGCATGCCTTAGGTAATACACATCATGGCACATGTCAACCCAAATTGAATGACCCAAGATTTCCTACAATACCACTTGGTATGGCCCACCCCAATGGATATACTGATTTAATAATTTAGATATAACAAATCTAGAACCACATGAACTAGAAATAACACATCTGGATCAGAATTGATTTGTGGCTCCAATGTATGTTTAACTCTGGGAGATCCCCATCTTGGCGTGCCTTAGATAACACATCATGGCACATGTCAACCCACATTGAATGACCCAAGATTTCCTACAATACCACTTGGTATGGCCCACCCCAATGGATATATTGATTTAATAATTTAGATATAACAAATCTAGAACCACATGAACTAGAAATAACACATCTGGATCAGAATTCATTTGTAGCTCCAATGTATGTTTAACTCTGGGAGATCCCCATCTTGGCATGTCTTAGGTACATCTGGATCAGAATTCATTTGTGGCTCCAATGTATGTTTAACTCTGGGAGATCCCCATCTTG